TTTTCATGGTCATACATCTCGATGTCGAGATGATCAATCAAAGGGTTTTTCAACATTAAAACGACCTTTTTCGATTGATTTTTGAGGTGCATCTGCAGCTCTACATTATAAGGTTGCAACCTTATATCAACTTTTTTCTATTAAAAATAGAGTAATAACATTATGAGACCCTCTCATGCCCAAGTGAGTAGGATCCCAAAAGGTCACTATTAAATTTTGAATCAGATCTCTATAAAAGTTATCACATGGGTGTATGGGACTTGGGTGAATGGGTTTATTGATGACTTTTCTAGATATCTATGTCAAAATTTAATGGTGATCCTTTGGGTCTTACTCACATGGGTGTGGAAGGGTCTCATAGTGTCATTACCCTATTTTTAATAAGAAAGTTTTTATAAAGGTTGCTACTTTATAATGTAGAACTACATATGCCCCTCAAAAATCCATCGGAAAAGGTAGTTTTAATGTTGAAAAACGCTTTGGTTGATCATCTCGACATCAAGATGCATGATTATGAAAATAAAAAGATTTTAAGTCTCATAAATAGTGCATTTTACAACATATTATCTACAACATCCATTTTCAAGATTCTCATATGTTTATAGATCTAATTGATTTTAACTATTTTTGAAATTTGAAATTTAAAATTTTATAATTAGATATAAAAATAGATTTTGAGATAATCCTAAAAGAATTTTGCATCAAAATTATATAGCATGATAAAATTTGATGGTGCACCTCACCTCTAGAGCTACGGATGCATCCGTACGCCACTTGCACTCCTTTTAAAAATATGAGAAATGATCATATAAGACCCTCTCTCATTCATGTGTAGGACCTTAAAGGATTATCATTAATTTGACACGTATCTATAAAAAAATTCAAGTCTCACATTTGTGTGATAACTTTTTTAGAGATATGTGTCAATTTTAATAGTGATCATTTGGATCGGCTCTTTAATAATGATTCATTGATGTCCTACATGACTGGAGGAAGGTCCTATAACATCATTACTCTAAAAACACATACAAATATTTTAAGTTTAACAATAAAAGGGTATGCGTAAGGTTGCGTGCCTTGAACGTGCACACACGTTCTGAATAAATAAAACACCTAACCCATCTCCCTCGACCCTTTTCTTGTCAACGATGCCCCTAAAAACCAGTAAAAAAACTAGAGTGAGAAAGAGAGTAAAGCCCAGGAAAAAAATTTTAGAAAGAGGAGGTGTGTGTCTGTGTTAATGGCTTCCCGTGGGCTCCTTGTTCGGGTAGCTGAGATCATCCTCGTCCCTCTATTCACTTTCATCGCCATCTCAGTTCCCGTTTTGAACGCCCCGCCCAAACCGTTCTCCCCTCCTCGCTCTTCCCTCAATCATTCGCCGATCTAAATTCTCAGTACGTTACTTTCTCTGGCGATTATCTGTTCACAAAGAAGCCCCACTTCTTTGTTGGTATCATGCTTCTATGAATTAATCGTCCAATGGCCCCTCTCACTCGCCAATCTCTACGGCCTCCAAACCCTGGGTTCGAACCACCTGCCTCGCATATGGCGTATCCGTTTCTACAAGCATGGTACTTTCTACCCCACCTTACCATGAATTTTTGTTTGTATTTTACTTTGCGTTAAATAATCTCTCGTAGAACTAATGAATTATTTTGATGCATTTTTTGTGTAATTATGTATGGGGCATTTTTATGCTGGAGCGCATTCTATATGACCCCACCCTCATATATGGTGTATGTGACTTTGGATCTCAGCCATCAGATAGCTTGAGTCACAATATCATGCGTAGATGGTGCCCTCATGTGGTGTATGTGACCTTGGGTCTCAGCCAGCCATCAGATTTTAGTAGATGGCTGAGATGGCTTGAATACAATGTCATGAGTAGATGGTACCCTCATATATAGTAAATGCGATCTGAGTAGATGGTTGAGATGGCTTGACACACAATGTCACGAGTAGATAGTTGAGATGACTTGAGTCACAATGTCATGAATAGATGGTTGAGATCGCTTGAGTCACAATGTCACAAGCTAGCACTTAACCATCGGACACCTCGTAGTATTTTATTTTTTAATTTTATTCTACGAATAAGTTTGAATCAAAATTTGGAGCATACATGGATCTTGACAAGAGTGCACATGATAAAGATATTAAAAAAAGATTTCCCGTGATGAAAAATTACCAGAATGCCTTTGAAAATTATAATCTTTGATGCTAAAAATATATTTACGATAAAATTTGGAGGTGTGCCTTAATTTAATTGGTAAAGGTGGCAGCTTTATACAAACCTCACCCAAATTTATTTCTTAAAAGTACTCTTATATTGAGATTTACCCCATGGAAAATTTATTTTGAAGAAAGCTTCTCCTGCGAAATCCATGTAAAGTCTGAACCGCTATCATTAAACTTACTTTACTACAATAAACTAGGATGCCTCTGTAGTTGTGTTTCTTTCTCATGTATCGTTCCACTCTCCCATCACAAATTTTAGGGAATCCACCGAAACCCTTATCATGTTGCCAAACGGCCCCTTAAACCAATATATCATACCTGGTGATTAAATTATCGATTTATATTCAGTTGCTTGTACCATAGGATCTAAGTTCGAGCGCAGGACCACCCATCCTATCTTAACAAGAAAAATTTATCTGCTCGGCATGTATGACATGCTCCTACAATGTACTCTATTCACTTGTCTTTTTGGTAAAAGGGCTATTAACGTAGATCTTTTACATGAAATTAATCCGCTTTAGAGTCACTTATATGAGATATTTTTAAAGAAAACATAGATTTGAATTTTGAATTTCTAAACACTTAGATTTAACTACTAAATTAAAACAAATAGTTTATACGTTGAGGGACACATAACTACATATGAGGCCCTGAGGCATCACACATCATCCTAAAGATGGATGTGGCGTTGTGGTCTCTCTAGTAAAATGCAAAATCAAAGGTTCAAAAATTTTCCTTCAAAAGTTTATCGTTTGCAGCATTTAAGATTTATTTAATTTTATTAATTCATGCTCTTCATTTTACATGTTATATTTATGTAAACAATTGAGTCCAAAATCTATCTCAAAAATGGATCATGCCTAAGGGACAGAGATCTAAATACGACTCCTAGGATGAGACTTTTTTGTTTTTTAATGACACATTCAGAGAGCATCTAGATTCTTTTATTATAAAGGTTGGCATCTAGATCGAAGAGCTTATGTTTGAAGCTTTTTTTTTTTTGGTAAATAGGTTACTCGGTTGGAAAAAAACAGTGAATATGAGTTTACATGAGGCCAAATAATTTTTTTTTTTTTGTGTAAGTCAGTTGTGGAGAAGGCCCCTACCAGTTTTTCATTAATAAGTAAAAAATAAAAAGTTTACAATTCATTACCGTAAAATCCTAGAACAGGGTACTTGTGTCAAATCATGAGTTAAAACAAAGCAAATAAAATCTGGTGGACGAGAACGTCAATCAATAGCTCTTTGATAACATGTAGCACTCTTTGCAAAAATATCAGTCACCATATTGGCTTCACCATTTATTTGACTCTACCATTTATTCTCTCGGGTCAAAATTCACATAGAATATCTGAGGACCCTAAATTTTGGGGATGTAACCTCTTCTACCTATATATAAACGTCAATAAAAAAATTCCCTAATTGTACCTTTTATGCACTTGAAAAATGTTAAGGGAAAGTGTTTTATGCCGCTAGACCACATTTTTATATATGAGGTCCAAAAAGTGTAAAGCATCCATCTTAAAGATAGATGCAACTAGATGTTCCATCTCAAAACCATGGAAATTAACGGTCAAAATGTTTTCTTACTAGAATTATTATTAAAATTTACTTATTTTTTCATATTCGTGATCTCCATGTTAGAGATTACATGTCTTTAAAATCCATTTCAAAAATAGATTTATCATGAGACCTGCATTTTTACATACATATGCAGGCTTGGGCGAGATTGAGATACTCCCCAATTTTTAGATGCAGAGATTTGAGTATTAAAAAACTCAAACCTCAAAAAACATTTCTCCAAGAGAATTTTTTCTTTTGGAAATAATCATCTAATCTTAAGTAATTTTCAAATTAAAAAATTAAAAAATTCCTACCAAATAGGTATGGTGACCGAGGCAGTAGAAGTGCACTATGATCCCAAGGGAACATAGTATACGTGCTCTTAGAACGGTAGAATGCTCGTGGAAGAGCATATAATCTTTTGACCCATTTTAAAGTGAAAAATAAAATATAGAATGCCAAACCCATCTTCGCCCTAAAAACCAGTAGAAAAACTAGAGTGAGAAAGAGAGTAAAGACCAAAGACCGGGGAAAAAAGTTTAGAGAGAGAAAGTGTGTCTGTGTTAATGGCTTCCTGTGGGCTCCTTGTTCGAGTAGCAGACGCCATCCTCCTCCCTTTCTTCGCTTTAATCGCCATCGCAGCTCCTCTTGTCGACGCCCAAACCGTTCTCCCTTCCTCTCTCTTCCCCGAATTTCTCGCCGATCTAAAGTCTCAGTACGCCACTTTCTCTGGTGATTATCTGATCGCAAAGAAGCCCCCCTTCTTTGTTGGTCTCGTCTTCTACGAATTAATCGTCCAATGGCCCCTCTCACTCGCCAATCTCTACGGCCTAATCGCCTCCAAACCCTGGTTTCGAACCACCTGCCTCGCATATGGCGTATCCGCTTCTACAAGCATGGTACTGCACCCTATACTTTCTACCCCACTTTAAAATGAATTTTTATTTGAATTTTACTTTTTGTTAAGTAATCTCTCATAGTATTAATGAAGTATTTTGGAGTATTAGTTTTTTTGTGTAATTATTTATGGGGTATTTTTGCACTTTGTTAAAATGGAGACTTTTTCCAGAAGCTGTCTTTAAGATGGGTGTCGAATCCGGATCTAGCGATTCCGGATTTGGCTGAGTCCGCCTCGACTCCGCGGGGCGAGGAGGTGCCCGGAGTTGCATGTACAAATCCGGGTACATAGAAAAATTTTAAAAAATCCTAGAAGTTGTGAAAATTAGAGAAATGTTCTATAATTGTTTACATGATTTCCATGTTTTTAGCATATAGTTGTGTGTGTTTTTTGTTATACTCCATGTTTTTATATTATTTTTTCTTGGATTTTTAAAATATCCTCGCTTAATTTTTTAAACCTATTTTTTCTATTTTGTTTTTAACAATTGTTTCATGCAGGCTGGACCGCATTTCTACATTATGCAGTCCAGTGGTATAAAACATCCATCTTAACTAACCGTCCAAATGTTTTCTTATTATAACTATTATTTTTATTTTTTCAAATTTTATTTTTTTTCATATTCACGATCTCCATGTTAAAAAATATATATCCTCTTAAAATTAGGATCAAATTATATTTAAAAAATTTATTTATTGCCAAGCCCGCGTTTCTACAATATACAGGCTGACTGCATTCTAACCGCATCCATCCATCCATCC